AGTGCTTGCTTAATAGGATATAATCTGGTTTTATCAACTGAGCTGATATTGAGAATTGGCCTCCGTTAAAAGTTTCTGAAGCTGATATTTTGAGCATTATTTCTTTGTTGGAGCCAATGATGAAGGGCTAACACTCCCTTCTCTCTATGCATAGCCTTTCATCTAACTACATGATGGGTAATTATGTTTGAAAAAGTTCATGTTAACCTTATAGAGGATGTATCACAATCCATCTTGATAGCCTCCAATATCATTGTCACTAGGCCAGCATATGCTTGCTTAAGAGTTGCTGAATCCACAGTGGAAATGTCTTCATCACCTGCAGAAAGAAAACAAGATCACTTGTTGTTATTACACACAGGTAGATAAGCCTCATTACAACAGTCACCGATACCAATACAACCTTGTGATATGAATAAAGGGGTTAAGTTTCTAAAGAAACTGTGGTGCTGTGTCGGTGGGAGAGTACAACAGGGTAATTCAGTATTATCAATTGAGTTGATAACATAAATTGGCCACCATAAAGAGTTTCAAAGTTGACATTTCGAATGTTAGCCCTCTGTTAGAGCAAAGTGATATGCCAAACTGTTTCAGTCTTTTCATGGTAAGTATTGAAATTAAGATTTTCATTTGATTTCTCTTTCCAAAATGCAAATCAGTATGGGGTAGGTGGGGTACTGACCAACATTTCCCCACCCTCATTAGAATTTGAGATTTCAACATCATTTCTGACAGTGCTTCTCAGAGTTAGGAAAAAAAACCCAACAGAAAAATGGACTATGTCAGTAAATCTGAAGATTTTACTCCATTTTCAACAAGTCATTAATTCAAAACGAGGTATATCAACAGCTGTGAATAATATCTTTAAAATACACCGAACTTCATAATCCCCAACCCACCCCCTGCTGGCAATCTATCACCTGCCTCGCGGTCACGATCACAAGACCATCTCTAGGCTGAACTTTACGATTAGGAAAATAAAACAAGGTAGTGACTGACTTTGTAAAACTTACTTGAACTGATCGTTAAACTTACTTTTAAGGGCATCTTCGTTCTTTTTCGTTACTAAAATATCCAAGGTAATTTGAACCAGATTTCGAAAACTCCGATCACCCACACGAGACGAATCTCCACAAAGATTGAGCCCTTCGATTGCTACGCTGCTCAACTCCATAATTATGTTCCCTCTTCAACTCTTCAGAATACCAGCTACATATATATTTTTTTCTCCGCAGAAAACGCAGTGTTTTGGTTTCCTTGCAGAGACCTTCAGAACTCGAGTAACAATTGGTTTATTCCGCTGACCATGTTGAATGAATGGGCATGGATGGGCTTATTTGAAGTACCGGACCATGCTTACAAATCGTCTCAGCTGGCAGCCAGTTTGGATTATTTTGTCTTAATTATGGCCTTGTTCTTGCGGAACCCCAGACTCCTTACGAACCAGCGTTTCTGTCTACAGTTGCAGCAGGTGAGACACTGAATTGAAGCAGCCATGATTGTAAGTTGTACTCTACAGGTGTGCTTTTCTTACGTAATACACAGTCAGGCCAGCGGAAATGACAACTGCACTGAAAATGCATCTGTTCCATCGGTCTCTTTGATTTTAGCTCCCAAGACCTGTCAGTAAAAAGGTTCTCGAAAGTGATATGAGTTGTTCGAAACTTATTAAATCTTACAATTTAGCTCCTATACCCTCCTCCCCTAAGGTGACCTTATCTACCTTTCAGATTTTTTTGGACATGGGTGGGAGATTTACCTTATCGGATTCTCAGGATTTTTAGCAAATCTGTCAAATTTAGGTTTTATTAGAAGTAATCTCGATAGTTTTTGAAATACCAGATAATGACTGCATGATCTTGCTTTATGATCAGATCAAGTGTTAATTCAAACACAACTTTATTTTTTTCCTTAGCAGGCCACAGGCATTGATATCACCTTTGACTATTTAAAAAATGGGCTAATTCTAGCTCACTGTGAGTCAGGTGGCTTTTCTTTTTCAAGTGTACATACACCCCCATGTATCGGATGCATGTTGTCACAGTAATTCATTGTGTCCTGAAGTTTGTCACACAATCTCCCCCTCCCCACCCTTACCCCCCCATTTAAAAAAAACTTTTTAGAAGGAAGAAATGAAATCGAAGAATGGCTGTGATTGTGAATGGCTCAGTGTCCTTCCCAATGTCAAAAGCATACAGCCAGCAAAGGAGTTAATTATGTGACTTTCTTTCTCTTGAATTAGCAACATGGCTGGTGTACAACTTGATCTTACTGATTCATTGTAAATACATGCAACTGCATCACTGGTCTGTTAACATTTTATGATGGAATCATTTAAGTGCATACAATTATAACAGGCGCATCACTGACAGTGGCTTCACTTTCCAACTATTGTTACAGGTTGGATTTGACCAGGCATGATGTGATTGCATAAATTTATATGAATCCATTAGATAAAGTTGTCCTGCCAATACAACTCCTCCACTCTAAATGATTTCAGAAAAATAAAATTTAATCACAAAAATTACTGAAAATGTGATTTAAAAAAAAGTTAATCCCTTATTTTCCAATGAAGGTTTTTCACTACTGTGATGCAACAGTGATAGCTGCTAAGGAGCCATTCCAAGTGGAACTTGTTGAAGGGAAGAAGTATTCTTGGTGCAAGTGTGGACTAAGTAAAAAACAGGTAACTTCATATGCTTATAAGGATGAGCTCACAGTAAATTGGCCAGTGTAAAGAGTTTTAAAGCTGATGCTCGAAACTGCACCTTTAAAACTCTTTATGGTGGCTGATTTATGATATCAACTCAGTTGATAATACTTAACAACCCTTTTTTACCCTCCTACTGACACAGCACCACAGTGTCATTGGAAACTTACCCCCTTTATTCATTTGAGCTCACAGTAGATTATTATAACCTGAAAGAAACACTGTTTTGTTGATATTGGGATGTGATTTTCTAACTAAGGATTGACATGAAAAGTTACTTAATGTGGCTGACAATTTGACAGCCTCAGGGGAAGGTTTCATCAAAATAAGATTGTGAGTCATGACTGGACATTATGGCACTACATGATCAAAGAATTTCTGTGTAGAATTACCAAAACTAACACCTATGTTGTCTTCTGGGATGTATTGTAATAACCCTACATATTGAATTTGGGGTATTCTCAAAGAGGTATCTCACTTTTGCTTGTGACTTTAAAGGGTGCATTATGAAGGGAAACCCAAAGAAATACTCTAAGTTATTGTTTGAGGGTGGAAAGCCTTTCAGACCTTTTCTGTAACAGAACAGTTCGAACAGATGGATGAAGCAATTTTTGGAGGAGGGGCTATTGCAAGACAAGACTAAATAATTGTTGCAAAAGATCTTATAAAAATTATTAAAAGATTGTTGAAAGCTTTCGTCCAAGGGAAAAGTTAAAATGGTTAAAATGAGTCGCCAATGTACATTTATCACCAAATGGTAGTGAAAGATGCAGGGAGGAGAGGACTTCAGAGCCGGTTGAAGATCTGCTTGGCCATTTATTTAAAAAAAAAAAATGAAAAAAAAAAGAAAGCTTTTTTTCAAGTTCTCGTATTCCTTGCAGCCATTCTGTGATGGAAGGCATAAAGTGACCCAAATCAAGCCAGTCCGGTTTGTGGCAGAAGTAACCAGCTCTGAGATCTTCCTGTGCGGATGCAAGCAGACAGGTTCGCCTCCATTTTGCGACGGAACTCATGCCACAGAAAAAGTCCAGTGTGCAAATTTATGACAAAAACTGTTTTAAACAGTTACTTTTTATGGAGACACGTAGTCACTTGCGGTCAAACTTTGAAAAAATAAGGGAGAACAAACAATTAATTTCAATTGTCCCGCGGGTCTGTTCCGTCGCAGATCAAAGATGACGTTAGAATGTTTTAACAACAAATAAAGTGTCATACGAGCAGTTGGTGATGTGAGTAATTTTTCCGTGCAGAAATGCAAATTCAAGAAAGGGTAATGCCCTTTCTTTTCTCCTCAGAATCTTGAACTCGCTAACTTTCGCGTCACGAGGTCAATGTTACACGCTTTCATTCTCCAAAAACAATGACAGGTTGATAAGCGGTTAGAATTGGTCTGAATTATGTGCTAGAATGAGGTTTGACTGGAATACTTTACTTCGAAAGATCCCGACGGGCCTTGATTTCCCAGGCCCTATCGAATAATTCTCAAATGGTAAAACGTTGTGCCTTAAGGCTTGACCAATTTTTTAGCATTTTAGATTAGCCTTTGCTTGCAAGGGGAAACCACAAGTCCACAACTTGCGTTCAAGGTGATTTAATGTTAGTTAAAAATATTTTTTTTTTCTTAGTTAGTCTACCTTGTTTAATGACTTTTCTATGTGTGACTCTACATAAAATACACTAAGAAGCGAAAGGAAATTGAAAAATCCTTTAGTGCCCTTAGTTAATTTATCAATTTTTTCGTTCTATTTATAAATTCATTAACTGTCGAGTCGTTCAATAAGGACTCCATACAGCTCAATACCAGATAAATAAATGCTATGTCTCCCTGAAGAGTTCTTGCTCGTCTGAAAAATCCTGAAATACCGAAAAGCTCCGAACTCCCCATCGACACACCAGGTTGCGGTGTAATATGGGTAAGGCTCCTTAAGCCCGCGATCATTCTCGTGTTTCTTTAACAGTTTCCAAGTACGTCCGTCCAACGATCCTTCAAGCCGCCAATTACGAATGATTGACATACCGTTGTCTCGCCCATGTCTGAGAGTGTAATGTGTGAGATAAAGAGCATATTTCTCGCTCAAGTCAACACACCACCACGATTTTTCCTCGTCTTTGGTGCCGCTTAATGATCCGCCTCTCCGAATATCTAGCAGATCACTTGCCGAGCCTTGTTCGTCAGAAGATCGTGTGGCGATTATTCTCGTCGGAAAAGCGTTTGAGCTACTAGGATTCACCCATGATGAGGTACCAAAATTTGTTCCTAATGCATAGATGACTCCATGTCTATCAAAATCCTTCCTGTAGTTCAAAACACCTAGGTTAAAAAAGGACAGAAAATATCATGAATGTGAATATTCTTCTCGTAAAACTCTACAAGACAGATGAGATTCTAATTCATCGGGATTAGTTTATTGGTACATCAATCGATCGGTAATCAGTCAGATTATTCTTGTTCTAGAGCGATATATTTTGCCGCTCTGAGGATTGCTCTTCCTACGGCTTTTAACGCGGGAAAACGCGAGTGACCAAGCTCTTCCAAGGGCTTTAAGCGCGGGAAAACGCGAGTAACCAAGCTGCGATTGGATTTTGTTTAATTTGATCGGTCGATGAGGTGGCGTGAGTTTCTAGACCAATCACAATGCACACTAATAAAATGCAGTTACCATACTTACGTCCTGGCATGCTCCTTAGTCTTGCGATTTCTTCCCTCAACGCTTCACAATGACAACGATCCAAGAAGTCCTTACGAAGTCGTGCAAAGTCTTCTTCCTTTTGTTTTTCTTTCTCACCAAGTTCAACCTTCAATTTCGCCAGTTCTCTCAGGGCATCTGTCTTTCCTTTAGCCTCTGCCGCCATGCCTTCCTTGGCCTCTTTAAGCTTCTTTTTCTCGCGAGCTAAGTTTTTCTTCACCTTGACAAACTCATCTTCGATTTTATCAAAATTTGATTTTTCTTTTTTCAGTTGGGTGGAGATCTTTTGAACCTCTGACTTTTGTTTTTTCAAAAGCTCAGTTAGTTCTTCATTTTTCCCTTGCAACATTTTCATCTCAGCAATTTGTTGTTCGTTCACTTCACACAACATCTTTTGTAACTCTTTCTCAAAGTCCCTCGTCAAGTTTTCATGTTCTTCTCTCATAACTTGTATTTCCCTTTGTAGAGTCTTTTTCTCCTTTGTGTGCTCAGAGCGAAGATCTTCAATATCTTTGTTTAATGTCTTAATTTCTTCTTCAAACTTAACTTTCTTTCCTTTGATGAAGTCTCTCTCAGTTCGTAATAAGGTACATTCTTCTTCTAATGCATCACAACGCGAACATTGATTATCCTCTACGCAAAAAGAAAACAAGTAAAAATAAATGAGCAAACCGAAAATAATAATTGATGGTCTCTACCCTGCTTGACTGGACTCTGTATATTCCGATCCAATCTACACAGTTATGATACTTATGCCAGACAGTCTCGTTAGTGGTGATGATGCATAGTCCTCCTCCAAAGCCATTCGGAAAGAAGTAGATTATAAGCACTTGTGCAAAACGAGTGGATATAAACCTCTGTAGTTAGGGAAACACCTTAAGACGCCAGTTCTGTTTAAAACTTATTGTGAATCAAATACCAGTAAATTCATGTTCCCCTTTCCTCCCCTCAAGCGGTTTCGTAAACCCTAAAAGACGAGCACGAGCTACGAGCGACTCGTGACGAGCACGAACGACGAGCGACTTGTGACGAGCACGAACGACGAGCGACCTGTGACGAGCACGAACTGCGAGCGACCCGTGACGAGGAAGAACAACGAGCGACCCGTGACGAGCACGAGCTACGAGCGATTCGTAACGAGCACGAAGCGCAAAAGACTGAATATGGTGATAACAACGACTCGAAAGACTAAAAAAAAAGCTGGCGTAAAAAACCTGCCGCGTTTGTTCACAATTATTAAAATAAAATATAATCCGCAATGACAGATATACTTTACTAACTTACCTTCAGAGTCATCCTGCTTCATTTCTCTGGGAGACGTCGCTCGGTCGTGAAAACTGGCGCTTCTTTTCCTTTCCAAACTTTCGAGGGTGTCCTCGAGTTGTCTCTCAAGCTCTTCATATTTTTGTTTCAAATCTTCGTGTTCTTTTGTTACATTAGCCAAGTCTTTCCTTGCCTCATCTAGCAGTTCTGTTGAGATGGCTCTGTTTTTGCGAAATGCGAGCTTCATCTCCTCGTCTGTATTTCCAATAAGATGAAAGTTTGGCTCGTGCCCGTTGTAGATTTTGAGCCCCACTTGCATCGACATAAGACTGGTCATATCAGGAGAGTTGCTTTGATTTAAAGTATTATTTTGGTAGCCTGACAGTTTTTTTGCAAGTTCTTTATTTTCCTCGGAGGTCTTTTCAAAGTTTTCCCTAAGGTTTCTCAAATCATCGTCTAGCTTATCACACATTTTTCTTAAACGATCTGTTTCCTCAACGAAAACCTCTTTAGCGGACAATTCTTCCTCCATGGTTTTGATTTTATTCTCAAATTCTTTAACTTGTGCTTGCAAAATCCTCTGGTCGTCGTTACTTCTCACCATGAGCGTTTCGTGTATGCTCTTTAGCTCCTTGAGTTCTTTCTGCGTTTTCCTATGCTTTTGTTGCTCGTTTTCTAAACCTGTCCTCATCAGACGAACTTCTTCACGTAACCTTGCACTGTGCGTTCTTGCGCGGTTAAGCTCTGTCTTTATTTCCTCCATTTCTAGAAAAGAGAAAGCCATTTAGGAACATTTTTGGTACCCTTCGGTGTTTTTATTTTGTAATCATTCTATTTTTTTTGTTCAATTATAACGGTTCCCCTCCATTTCTTAACGTTCATTGGTGCAAAAAAAATTTGGAGTGATCTGGGTCTGAGTTCCACTGAATATTTTTATATTCGGACGATGGGCCCAAATTGTTCAATCATTTGTTGCCCAGCTCTATTCAACTGAGATGCTTTATTTTGGTAATCAGTGGGGAGTATCATGTCGGCAATTAACCTCAGGTACCGGATGAAACATCACTTCAGCCGCAAAAATAGCCTCATCTTATAAATAGAATTTGTTATGTATTTTGCTTGTTTGTTAATTAATCCTGTAAGACTTTACTGGGCCTTGCTATGAATGATTAAAGAGTTAAGCAATTATAGATAAGAATGATTCCACACAAGTAAGGCCTTAAAATCACTGCGTGTTTCCAACCGGGAAAATTTTACATATTTATGTCTTTATTTTTCAATTAATTTCCCATTCCTGTTTTTAAGGAATAAGTATGAGGATCGATCGAGAAAAAAGTCAGTTGGAAATTCCGGTTCCACAAATAAAATCCGCATGCCTATTGTCGATATAGATTTAAAAAAAATTTTTTTGACGTAAACTTATCATGACCTTTCGAGGCTCACCCACCACTCCTTCGCCAGTCTACATCACCCCCCACCCCTCTCCTCCCCAAGTATTTCTTCTACAATGTCATTACTTCCATTACTAGGTGACTTACCAGCTTCTTTGACCAAAGGAGTAGCTAAAAATGGCTGGATTTCTTGTAATGCTGTCACAAACTCATCAAAAGCAGCTGGTCCTCTCCTGGGTAGGATCTCTAACAGTTTGTCTGTTCTGTCCTCTCGTGTGGCCTTCACCTTCACTTCCTGTTCGTCTGTGACGTCCAATACGTTTACCAGATAAGGTAGAAGCTTAACTGGTTCCAAGTCTCTCCTGAGCGCCGACCAGTGGCGACGCAAGATGTCTCGATGCCTTTCATTCATGTTGTCTTGGGTTCAACACCAGTCTCTATCTCAGAAGCGTCGTTAAATTTTTCTGCAAAGTGCAACTTGCCAACAACACTAGCCTTGCCAAGAGAAACCTGCGGGTTTAAATGCATTTTAACTTTCAACAATTGATAATAGACCCATTAGGTTTGGTTTTCGTTGTCCTTCTCTCACACGAATTTCTTCCGCTTTCATGTGCTATGACATGCCACTGTAGATAACATAAGCCATGTCATTAAAACATAGGATCTTCGTTTCAAATTTTTTTGACATGGATTCGCAAAAACTAGTAGAAATATATGGCGATCAAGCAGTTTTTACTCGATTATCACTTCAAAGAAGCTTTGAGTTTTCATTGAAAAAAGGTATTTTCAACTATTCTGCAAGTTTCTATGGCCGGAAGGGACTCTGCATAAAGATGACCGTAAAATTTGCAAATGAATAACTTTTCTTGCCTCTCAATTGAATATCTTAACAATAGATGTTCTGTTCAGGTGGTCAAATTCAAAGAGGTATTGTTAACTCCCGTACACCTTAGTGTAAAGAAAAGATTATTCAGCTCATTAATTAATACTTGTACTCTCGATTTTAGAAGTCGGCAAGTTTTGGTAAATAAAATGTCACCTTTCTTCTGAGACAGTCTTCAGGCCATAAAGAATAACAAGCCTCTCGGTTTTGTGAGAAAAAGAGTGTTATTCTACGCAACAGTGATATCCGCTAATCTTTCTGAACACTCTCAAATTGTTAGTTGCGCTCAGAAGAACGTTGTTATGGTGCAGATTTAGATCCTATTTTACTAAGGCGTTGTTAATTTTACTTCAAGCTCTTCACTAAGTACAACCTAAAGTACTTTGCACGTGTTGTGTGTTAGTGCGATGCTAAGTGAACCATTTACTAAATATGCAGTGTTTATATTAGCGAATATCGTCCAAATAGTCCCACTGACAAGAGTTATTGTATATTGTATATCTTTGATAAGTGTAAACAAGGTTGTTAAAACTCGCCATGAAGTGATTAAATATTTAACTGGCGTGAATTAGCGGGATGAAATGGCAGTTTGGTCAAATGTTAGGAGATGGACTCTGTACAAAACGCATCTTGTAGCTGTGCAAGAGGTCAAACTTAATGATACTAGAACACAAGGCTTAGAAGAAATATATTCTTCTCGTAGCAGTTGAGCATAACGTTTACGTTGGATTTATTGTCAGAGGTTCAACAAAGTGAAAAAAGCACACGAGTTCAAGGTGGATCGGTTGAAAACCTACCTCGTACTGATTCCTTCAGCCAAAAGTCGAAGAATATTCCACCACAAAGCAAGTCAGACGAGTGCAAACTTTTCTACCTCAGATGCGCAGTCAGCTGTATTATCAGTGCTGGAATCTGTGACACTTTTTTCACGTTCCGTAATATTTCTAAAGCAACATAACTTAAAGTTAAGTTGAGGACCTTCTGTCAATCAGTGAAATAGTAATACTCAATTTCATCAGAACATGGCAAATGACTCACCACGATTCTCCATCAGAGATATTCAGAAATAGTTTTTATACAGCGTTACCTTCAAGTGTGTTTGATTGCAGTGACGTAATCTGCCGATTTTACCGACCAATCAAACACTTGATTGCCTTAGCAACCTGTTGCTATGGCTGCAATTTTCTTATTGGCATACTGATTAAGATGTTGTCACAAGATAAAAAGTTTCCCGCAACTTGCCTTGGAATTAGGCGACGAATTGTGCTGAAGCGTTAAAAATTATTCTTTCTTCTAAATGCCACTAATCTCTTACCAAATTGCTTACATTTTCATGTTATGGAATTTCATGTTATAATAGGCTATATCCCGAGTGGATTGTTCGGTTACTTTACCAGTCTCGTGAAATGTCTCTTGGACAAGGAAAATTTGTTGTAAAAGAGACAAGAAGTCTCCATCAGTCCTTCAAGAACGAACGAAGAAGACAACTTCTGATTCTCAAGACGACCATGATTTTCTCTAGATGACAGTTCTTAGTACTCTTTTGACTGACATCAAAAATACATCATATTCTTCAAAGGTTAAGAAATTTAGGGCCCACTCGTCCATTAAGTCGCCTTGAATTAGTTATTTTACCTTAGAGACCCACCTTTTCCCTCACCATAAGGAGTTATGAAAACGTAACTTACTTTTACATTAATAGAGAAAATATTCCCTTTCTTATCCACATGATTATCCTCATGCCCCTATCACTTTCCACCTTTATCTGGCAACTAAATGGTTGAGTGAACCCTAAAATTTCTAATCTTGGTAGACTATTATACTGCAATTTGCTTCGATTTTTTATGTCGAATGGACAAGAGCACAGCGAGCACATAGGCAGGTAGGCACCTGCGTTTCCCCGGAAATCTAGGGGAGAAATACAGATTCTTGTATAAACTGACAGGAATCAGCTTTTGTGACAGAATCCCTTTGTCTCTTGCCGCGTAAGTTTGCAAATTACTTATTCCAAGTTTAAGTTCGTTTTTAAGGGGACCGAGGTCTAACCTAAATCACACTTTTACGCAATCAGTGGGTCTCAGGCTCTCTCTAGAGGAGTGTTAATTAACTGATTTAATGCCCTTTTTCGGCCCTCTTGACGCTGTTCACAAAAATAAATGTACGAATAAAAGGCTCCGTTAAATCGAGGATTTTTTAGGACACGGTTTTGTTAAACAACGTCTAAACTTTTTTAAACGAGACTAAGATGTTCCTTGAATGGAGGTGACTTTCCAATGAAAAAAGTAATATCAAAAAATTGAAAATGCCCAAAGCTTTCCGAATCCTTAGGGTCTTCAACCTTTTTGAATTACTGGCATACTTGTTAACTATTGTAACCTTTCATAAGTACACCGTACAGTTCAATCCCAGATAGGTAAATACCATATTCGTTCGAGGAATTCTTTCCTTTCTGAACAACTCGAAAAAACCTATAAGCTCCAACTTCTCCTTCAATCGGCCAGGTAGCGGTATACGAAGAGGGTTCACATAGCTTGCTATCATTATGGTGTTTTTTTAACACTTCCCAGGTAGACCCGTCAAACGACCCTTCGAGCTGCCAATTACGGAGGAATGAACCACCGTTGTCCAGACCGTGTCTTAGAGTATAATGTGTGAGATACAATGAGTATTTCTCGCTCAAGGCAACACACCACCATGATTCCTTCACGTTTTTGGTACCGCTTATCTTCCCCTGTTTATGACAACGTTCAAGCAGATCAGTTGCTGAGCCTACTTCGTCAGATGATCTTGAGGCACTTACTCTTGTGGATACACCACTCTTGCTGGGATTTACCCAACGCCGATTAGCTCCGAAATTCATTCCCATCGCATAAATAACTCCACATCGGTCAAAATCTTTTTTATAGTTAAAAACACCTGCATAAATAAAAACAAAATTAGGTGAAAAAATGTTCCCCGAGTGGACACCAGAAAGTAAGATAAACTCCTTTGTTGTCAGGTTGTTCTGAGGTAAAAGCATTCTACGCTTGCTGTGGCTTCTCAAGCCGATAGCATTGACAGATCAATCAATCAACCGATAGATTATTCTTCAAATACTTCAGATAGGTGGAGCAAGAAATCCATCCATTTTTTTGCTGCTCCTATGGTCAAAGAAGTAGGTTAGTCACCCAGTGATGGAAGTAATGACATTGTAGAAAAAATAAAAGTTAAATGATGAAGAACCTGAAATCTTTTACATTTTTCACGAGCTTGGAACAAAGAAACAACTATCTTAGTTCCACTCTGGACTGGAATTCGAACCTCACACCCTTCGATCTCGCGGTCTTAGGCGACTTGAAACTCTTTAGAATAGCCTAACTCTAAAAATTTCGACCATCAATATTTGCGGAATAATCCATTGATATTATAAGGAAAAGTTAGATATTTATTAATTCTTGGATTTAAAATGCTAATGAAGAGGTCCCTAAAAAAAATAGATTAAATTTAGACACGGTGTTTGCGAAGATCCGTAGCCCTTCAATGAACGTGCGCTTACTAAAAACAGGTTACTTACGTCCGCACCCTTCTCTCAATTTCTCCAGTTCATTCAAGGCATCTCCCTTAGCTTTAGTCTCTGCCCGCAATTCCTCCTCTGTTTCTTCCAGCTTCTTCTTTTCGGCATCCAAATCTTTCCTCAACTGGTCATTATCTTCTTTGAGTTTTTCAACTTCTTCAGAAACTTTTTTATTTTCCGATTCTTCTTTCTTTAACAGGTCTTTCAGCTTGGCTAATTCTTGCTCTTTCGCATTAAGCTTTGACTTCTGTTCCTTTTTTTCTTTCTCCATCTTATCTGATTCCTTTTTAAGATTTTTGAGCGTAGAGTTCAAGCCTTTAATTTTTTCCTGATACGAGTTATTCTTCTCTTTAAAAACAAGCAAATTCATAATTGGTGGACGAAACGGAGGAAAAACGAGATCTCTCGAAGTAAATCTGAACGATTGTCGCAGGCTAACTGCAATTTAAGTAATTACATAATAGAGGCCTGACAAATTTAAGCCTTAATAGGATTCGAACCCACGCCTCCTCCCGGATTCTGGTTGGGCGCAACTACCAACTGAGCAACGAAGCCACATGTTGGAAGCTAGGCATCTTTCAGTGAATTCCGCGTTCCCGCAGAGGAATCTCATCACAATTTTAATGAATTAAATCATACAGTGACCTAAGTTGCGGTTAAAATGATCCTCACAGGCAAGCTGAAATTGAAGAAATAACTTCAGTCTTTTCTGCAATCGGATTGCAGCAAATAACTTACGAGAATCATTCCTTCCTGACTGTTCGTATAGTTACCTGCATGTGCTCGGGGGTGATGAGAGCCTCTTTCAGGCTTTGTGAGACCGAGTCAAATGTTATGCCCATTTTTCTGTAATATTTAGCTTCTCTATATCACAAGTTTCGTTGATAATTTGAAATAAAATGCAGCGATTGCAATCTCTTTTCGATTCGATAAACTAAAACTTCTATTCAGGGTACACATCCAGTATTAGAAAAAGTGTCTTCTTTACCTGACAGCTTCTTAATTTCTGCTTTGCTTTCAGCATCTAGTTTCTCTTGTTGTCTCCCAAGTTCTTCGATTACTTTCTGCTTTTCTTTATTCTCTTGCTGCTTTTTCTCAAAAGCTTCTTTCATTTCAAGAACTTGTTTCTTTAACTTCACGCATCCTTCTTTTTCGTTGATCAGCTCTTTCTCTATAACGTCTCTTTCTGCAAGAGAAACAAACTGTACACCTCTTAGACATGAATCAAATTACCCATTCCTGACAATATGGTTTTTCTAAGGAAAGATATTATCTTTCTTACGAGCGTGGACTAAGAAAAACATGTTTCCTTTGAACTACCAAAAGTGTTTTCCGTTAACAGGTGTTGGTATGATAGCTCTTCTTTCAACTTTCAATTTCAGTCTTAAACGCCACACCTTTTCTGTAATTCTCGATCAGAGCTTCGTTTTGACGAGTTATTTCTTCGAGTCTCCTTTGTGTTTCCTCGTGCTCTTTTCTCTCTTTTTCCAAAGCTTCTGTTGCTTCATCAACTTGGTTACTTCTCATCGCACTACTTGCTCTTTCATTCTTAAGCTCTTCCTCCATCATTTTTATTTCTGGAAATGAGATAAGTAACACAGGTTAATAATTACTGCAGTCAACTCATGCTCATAATTACGTGTCTTATAAGGGAAGATGGAACCATTTAAAGGAGACTAAGAAATATATCTATTCCCTAGACCTTCCGACTTCGCATTTGGAGGCTTTACCTACTTATCAACAGAATAATAGCAGCTTTTTTCTAGGAATCGGCAACGGTGACGGTTACCGGTCTTCTGGTACCCAGCCTTTTTGTATACAGTTAAGTCGTTTAGTACCCAGTCAGTTGAGCCGTTTCGTACCCAAACTAATAAAGTATGTTTTCCATGTTAAGTATGATAAAAGTAAGGTCGGTTTCCTATTGTGAATAGCAATATTACCTGCACTAATTAACTTATGCTAACGTAACGTCCATTTCTGAAGGGCGACCGCCGAACCTGGAACGGAAAGTCATTGGACAGACGCAAGCAATATTTCCACCAGATGCATATTTAGGTACTTATTGACTGAGTGTGAGGGCCGGATGTGAAAATATTTGATGATGTTCGGACAAAGCGCAGCTTGTTTTAATTAATGCCACAGACTGGCAAGCGCGGGAAAACCAAAAATTGATTCTTCAATAAATATACACAAGGACGAAACTCAGAATTCATCGAAAAACGTCACATGTTTTCTCATTTGTGTTTACTGCTGTCACTCATTTTTACAACAAAAGCGAGCAATGTTTTTTTCCTTTTGCAACAAAACCGTACAAGTGCACTGGAGTCGAACGGCTTTTTCCGGCCCTGCAACAGTCAGCTCTCCCCCTGGTTTTCTATGAGAATTCCGAAGTTAGTACCCTTGATAGCAAAGGGACGGAAAAAAAACACACTTGCACTAGATGTTATTGTCAAGAAATTAACAACTATAAACACCAGGCCATTGTACTAAAAATTTCACACCTGTCTTACCCTTGGCAATAACTTAATTGTGTCTGTTATGAAGTCACAAGTGTACAAAACAAAATTTTCTTGTATCTTATTCGCTTGACTCTACTTACTTGTCGTACGTAACACTTGACGTCTATTCCCGCGCTCGCGCGTGATATACTTTATATAAATGTATGTTAGGATGGGAAAGAATCGATCAGCGGTTTGGGTACGAACCAAATCAAACTGGGTACGAATCAAGTGAATTGGGCATGAAACGACCGCTTTCCGTCTCCATTGTGAAGCGAATGCAAGGCTGTTGGCGGTTTAAATGCTGTAGGAAGCATTCTATGCTCTCACGGACTAAGTGACTGATGAAGTGACTGATTAAGTTACTGCTTGTTCTATAAAACTCTTCATGTAGAGGTTAACAATAACAGCGGAAACCGGACTCTCCTTAGCTGCGCCTTCGGTCTTTTCATAAGTTGATGCATTGTACTGTACTTCGCCTGAAGATGACTAACAGTATCAGTCGAAACGTGGTGATCCACAGCCGAAGTAACCACATCGTGAGACGAATGATTACTTTTCATTTTTGAAAGAGTTGTTTACCACAGACTATGACCAATCAAAACCTATTTTACGATATCAAAGAAAATAGTTGAAAAGGACTTTTAAGGCGCAACCTAACAGATTTAATGTGCTGCTGCAGTGTACTCCTTTGGCCTCCATGTTGCCCGATGTTGATTAATATTAGAAAAAATGAATTAGACTGCTATTTACAATCGCAAAGAAAATCGAAAAAAAGCTGTTGAATCAAGAATTGCCATAACATATTTACCTGCATTTTTCAAAGTAACAGCTAGGTGTGGCTGTGTCTTCTTCAGTCCTTCCACAAAAACATTAAAAGCATTATTTCCTCTACGTGGAAGTATTTCTGTTACCAGCTTGTCTACCCTCTCATTTCTTGTGCTCTTTTCAAGCACCTCTCGTGCGTCTGTGACGTTCACTACAGAAGTTAATTCAGGTAATAGATTCTTTGGTTCCAGGTCTTTTCTGAACTCCGACCAACACTGGTGCAAAATTTTCCGATGCCTGTCATTCATCTTCTTTCAGATTCTCTCTGAAAATAATATGTTATATACTTCGGTAAATGTTTCTTCTTTTTTTTTACTCTTACGATTAAGTTTTTCAAGAAATTTAGATGGATTTTCTACCGCACGCTTTAAAGGAGTTACGCAATGATTTGTGCATCATGATAAATGGTCCATCCCGTCTTAACGCCATAAAAAGTTATCCAAAATGTCTCGACGTCATTCCTCTCAGTCACGGTATTTAATTAGGAGAAGCAGACATTTGTCCCTAGCTAACTAAAGCTGGTCCATTTTGAGATTGAGTTTGCAGAGTTTGTATATGAGCTTTAAAAAGGGGTTTTGTTAAGGCAGCCTTGTCAACGAACAATAATTTTCTGTAGAGATCCTTAACTTAAGTTACTGTCTCGTTATCACAATTTTGAATTCTTACAGCAAAAGAGATCGATTCGTAAATCTCGTGTCTAGCAACCCCAAATTGGCTGAACTTCAGTATCTCTCGTGTTCTTGAGGTCTCAACATTATAGATTACCCAATGTAATGGAAGAAAAGCTCGATGAAAAATATTTTTGATGAAAGAATTGACGAAGAAAAGGAGTAGGAAGTAACAGGTAACGCAAGAAAACTTTCAATTGAACAAATTGAAACCACAAGTGAAGCCAGTGAAAGAAACCACTTGAGTGTTTTAACATTCATTTTTTTCAGCTAAATTACTTCCAAATTAAAGGATTGGAAATAACCGTCGATAGGGAGCCAAAGGCCTAGTAACCTATAATACGGAACATCTGACGTCCTTAAAATCATGTTATTTTATACGAACCGTAGAAATTTAATGTTAATTGCCGTGATTCCCTCATGATCATTTTTTTAAACCCGTGAAACGTGCAAAG